GTGCCGTGCCAGGTGCAGGGTCTGCTAGCTGGGTGCTGGCAGGCTTGCACCTGGCACGGGCACCGTAGCCAGCCCGTGCCCCTTTAAGGAGTCCGGGGCTGGGAGGGGAGCAATAGAGTTTCCCTGGTGTTGGCCAGAGTGGGGGAGGGCTAGCCTCCCACTAGTTCGAATTAAGGGGCTACACACCCCTTAATTCGAACTAGTAAATTCGAACTAGGCTTAGTCCTTGTGCAATGAGGTTTACCTAGTTCGAACTAAGCGCTCCACTAGTTCGAATTAAGTTCGAACTAGCGGAGCGCTAGTGTAGAGCCTATCAAAGTTAATTCGAACTAACGTCCGTTAGTTCGAATTAACTTTGTAGTGTAGACATACCCTGAGGGAAGTGATGGAAACCCTAATAATTGGAATCCTTTATAACTCAAATGGACAAAGCTGCAGAGAAAAACATTGCAGTGACAAATTAAGGAGAAGATTTTCCCTTTAGTTTTGTTACAGTGGCTACGTCTACACTGGTGGCTTCTTGTGCAAGAACTCCTTTACAGAAGAGTTCTTGTGCAAAAAATCTTTTGTGCAACAGATGTGCTTTTGCACAAGCACATCTATGGCAGTGTGGACGCTCTCTTGTGCGCAGGAAAGCTGTGATGGCCATTTTAACCAGAGGAGCTTGTTGCACAAGAAATTCATGTTGCCTGTCTACACTGCCCTCTTGTGGAAGAGCTTTTGCACAAGAGGGCTTATTCCTTGTGGGGAGAGGAATAACTCTTCCGGAAGAAGCCCTGTTTTACAACGTTATATTGTAAATTAACTTGCGCAAGAATGCTCGTGCAGTGTAGACAGCAGGCAAATTTTTGCGCAAGAACGGCTATTCTTGCGCAAGAAACTGCCAATGTAGACATAGCAGTGGGTATTGTCTCTTGAGATGAGCTAGGATCAGCCAGTTTTAGCCTTCCATTTGTTATAGGGAAAGGTTATGGGAAATAATGTCAGTAGGAAGCACTTACTTACTATTCATGTACATACCTGAGAGCAAAATAAAACCCTGCCGTGTTACAGAAATCCACTCACAGATAAGGGTGAGACAGAGCTGTCTTCACACACAAGTAAAATGTGTGTAAATCTACATCCTCCCCTTTGGGTCAAAGCACAGCTCACTTTTGGGATCATTAAGGCCAAACAGTGTGAAGCAAAATGCAGGACAATGTAGCACTTTAAAGACTAACAAGATGGTTTATTAGATGATGAGCTTTCGTGGGCCAGACCCACTTCCTCAGATCAAATAGGAAGTGGGTCTGGCCCACGAAAGCTCATCATCTAATAAACCATCTTGTTAGTCTTTAAAGTGCTACATTGTCCTGCATTTTGCTTCACACTGTTTGGCCTTAATGATCCCAAAAGTGAGCTGTGCTTTGACCCAAAGGGGAGGATGTAGATTTACACACATTTTACTTGTGCAGTATCATCTGAAGGGTGTGTGAACCTGAATGCTTGAGGGCTGTCAGGAATGTGGACTTGCAGCTGTGCCTGCCCAGACTCCAGGCAGCCAGAGCAGTGCTGGGCCTCCTGTTTCACTGACAAAGTCAGCAAACCTACTATCTCTGGGTGCTCAATGTATACACCCACAGCTGCAGTCTTTTCTCTGCCTCCCTTGCTCCTGTCCTGCCCAATCCACTCCAGCCTGACTTGGTTTCTTATTCCAGCTCTGACTCCTGGTCCCCAACTGTAACCTCTGATTTTTGGGCCATCTCCAGCTTCCACCACTGGGTCTAATCACCTCTGTTCTGATCACTCCTCCCATCTTGGTTCATGACAAGTGCAAACTAGCCTTGGTCTGCAAGCCCTTTGCAGCAGGGCCCCGTCTATGCTTTTAACACCTGCTACCACAGTAGGGCTGGTTAGGCATTCTGATTGCTATCATATTAGCGCACTTCAAGCCCTTGCTGAAATGAACAGCTATTCAATAGGCCATATGATTTGTACACGGTGTTCAGCAAAAATATTGCAGCGCTCATGAGCTGCAGTTGATCACCTTATCCATTTGGTGGCACCAAAAGTACAGCCCAAGGAAACACAGTTCTGCTCTTGTGCCCTTTTGTAGATGAAAGCCTTTCAATTATTAACACACCCTGAAAGGAGACAGCATGTGACAATTGAGGAGACACCATAACGCAGAGCACTGCATTAGATAGACTACATGTTAAAGTACAGATTTCTGAGTAAACATAAACATGCACAACAGAATGTATTCTGCCTACTAACAAGGCACTGACAGCCTATTAACGAGCATTTCCTGCATTCTCTCTCTGCCTTTGTCTCTTCATGCCCTACCACGTCTTGACTTAGTGCAAGCTATTCGTTTAGCTGTTCGCCTTGATGTTTTCCCTTTCGGGTCCATTTTCAGTGATGATTTCCCCCTCCCCTGGAATTCCCTTCCCAACAGTGTCCTCAATGCCTCCTCCTTGTCCTATAAATTCTCTCAGGCTCACCTCTTCAGGCTTGCCTAAATTTAGACTATAGCTACAAATACGATCAATTAAGCCTTTGCATTGTGTCACCACCAAGAAGGGTGACTAATTTCCCATGGGATAGTGTAATTGCTAGCTTTATTTATTTATTACAAGCAGATTTACCTGGCATTGCTCAACTCCATTATTTTTTAGAAATAAAAGGAAAATGTACGTGCTTTATTGAAATCATTGTATTTTTCAAAAAGTGTTATTTTTATTAAGTTAATTTGAGTAAATTTTTAAAACGGGAATCCCATTAAGTATATCTTTTCTCTCCTATAAACTCTTACCATTCACTATGTTTTAACAAAAAAGGGGCCATAGTCCATTTGGTTTCCAGTAGCACTGTCTTCTAGTTTTCAAACTTATGCATTGATTTAGTCGTGCCAATACAGAGCACTTCTCCAAATTTCTCCCTTTTATCTCTTTTCTATAAGGTTTATTAAGAAGCAATCTTATTCCAGGTTCATCCTATTTTTTCGCTCATCTTGGTTCAGTCTCTTTCAGCATTTGCTCAGTTACATCAATTTTGATTCCCATACTTGAGTTAGTGATTTTTGTCTATTTTCTGTTTGCTTCTCATAAAACCAATCTCATTGCAGGTACATTCTGGTACAACCAACTTATGTTGCTTACAGTTAGGAAAAGAGGAAGCTGTATACAAAATTTGGTGGTCCTAGCTCTTATTGTTTAGGAAGAGTTCTTGATTAAAGAGACAAAAAGACAAACTCTCTAAAATAAATAGTAGAGATGATACTGAGCTCCTGACTTTAGGCAATACCAGCAAAACTCTATTGTGCTAGCTAGGCCCTATAACTTCTCCCTCCTACCCCTTCGCCTCTCGGTTATCTCTTTGTGTTGCCCTTATTTTTGCATACATTGTACATTTTTATGAGCAGGAAATCAGTATTAATTTGTTCTTTGACTCAGTATAAGAATTATCCTAAATAAACTTCCACATTGTTTGTCTTCATAGGAAATCTGTAGAATGAAAATTTCCCACCAAAAATTGATTTGGGATTATTGAATCATTTTATTTTGCATTGTGTAATATGTTATTAAAATATTAAGATGTAATAATGTTAGAAAAGTTATAAACAAGGTGAATGAAATTGATAGTTAAACAAAACGTAAATTGAAACAAGACATTTAGATTTGGATAAAATTGCATTTTTGGTTGGAAAACTTTAGAAAATGTTTCATACAGCTTTACTTTCATTTTTTACTACGTTAGGTTTTGTTGAAGGTTATGTCAAGAAGGTGAGGTCCAAAATCTAGATTTGGGATTTAAAAAAACTTCTGGGAAATCTTTCATAAAACTAATACTTATGAGTTGAAACACACACGGAATTTTTTTTTCTATTTTAAATATAAATGTTGTGCAGCAGCGGCAGTTCAAACATTGGAGAGTATTTAGCTGTTACATAGGTGCGCAAAGGTGAAATTGTAGAAGTCACGGTGAAACTGACAAGTCTAGTTACATTGTTCAAACAGAACAAAATGTGAAAAATAAATAGTGACAAGCAAATTATATTTATAAAATTACTTCATTTTTAATAATGGGATTGTAACATACATAAGAGTTGGGATTTTAAATTTAAATTTTAACTTGTCAATGTACAATGGTGTGTGGCTGGGATGGATGTTACTCTAATTAATTTAATTTTGTTTTCGTTATACAGCGTTAATCTATCAAACACATAAACAGTTTTTGAGACAATGGCAACATGATTTGACTTAGAAGCTCAAACCCTGCAAAAGCGTTAGGATGAGGACTGTGATTTCATACAATGGCTGGGGAAAAGAGATTAGTAAGTGTTGGTCTTTCCTATCTTCCTCTTATCCTCCCCCCCCCCATGAATGACTGAATACAATATAACCAATAGTATAGTACCATAATATAAACTTTACTTAAATATTCTTATTGAGGATGTCACTGAGCATGTCCAGGCCCTTGATGCACAACCGTGTGGTAAATAGCCACATGGACGGACCCTTGAAAGTCAGTGTATTATAAGAGTGTATTATCCCAGTGGGAGCCATGTTGCCATTGACAGCATTGTTGCAGATCTGTCAGAACTATAAAGAAAGAAATCAGAATTGTGACCAATGCCACCCGGATATTACAATCCTTCTGGAACTCAGAGCTTCCTGGGTAAATTATTCTCTGCCAGTAACTTAAGAAGTAGCTTCAGAGGGAAAGGGACTCTGGTTGGGTAATGTAGCAATGAACCTTTTACAGCTAGAACAATGGTTCAAATCCAGTCCACTGCTGCTGAGTCATTAGCATCTGCTGAGTCACTAGCATCTGCTGGCTGGCTGATACCTTTGGTCCTATTCCATGTAGATGGGTATCTTCAGCCCAATTGCTACACCTGTTGGCAGTCACAGAAGCACTGCCTCTGATGTAACTGATCTGTGGATAAACGTGTTTTCATTTGCAACTGCCTTAATCAAGCTCTTCCTTTTATACTTTTGCTGATTTTCTAATCTGTATTAATAATTATTTGGTCACAGCAGAACCCCTCAATTATCTGGTTTGTCTCTTCAAATGGAGTGTAGGGTTTTATTGGCTGTAGTCTTAAGGCCTAAAGGGCTGTTCCACAGGCAATCATTTCAGCAGCCAAAGCTTGGACATTCAGCTTGCATTGCAAGGCTGTCGAGAAACAAACACTAAGGGTATGTCTCCACAACGGGACAAAGTCGAATTAAGATATACAGCTTCAGCAACGTTAATTGTGTAGCTGAAGTCTAAGTATCTTAACTTGGCTTTTGGTACTGTCTACACTGCAGGAAGTCCACAGTCACTCCACCTGGCTAGGTGTAGTTAACCCCTTAATCCCCAGGCTGCTGGCTAACCCTCATAATCATGACACCCCTCACTTCAAATTAGCTGTCTTAACTAGACTACTTATTAGAACCCTGGAAGATGGAGAGCGGCAGCTTCGATCTTCCTCTGCAGTGTAGACATACCCTAAGAGAGCCATCTAGATTTCCTCTGCACCACGTTATTCTCTGATTCATCTGATGAAGTGGGTTTTACCAATGAAAGCTGATGTCCTAATATATCTGTTGGTCTCTAACGTGCATGGGCTTAATTCGACCGCCTTCCCAAAACTGCCTACACTCTCAACCGCTGAAGGCTGGGGGTGCCACCAGGGAATGCTGGGTGAATGACAGCCCAGCTTCCCCTGACTGTGGGGAAGGCTGGGGCCACGTCGTGGCAACCTGGCTTCCCCCAGCCACCAGAGAGGGATTGGCCAGGGCCACAGTGCAGCAGCTCAGCTTTGCTGGGAAAGGCTGGGGCCATGGTGCAGCAGTCTGGCTTCCCCCACCGGCCACCAGGGAGGGATTGGCCAGGGCTGCAACACAGCAGTCCCAGCTCTCCACGTGGTCAGGAAGAATCAGGCTGGGGGTGGATTGGTCTTAGCTCCAGCGGTGGGGCTCAAGTGGAAGGGGTGGAGCTGTCTTGCCTTCCCCAGTGGGGTTTTCACCCACCTCCCATGATAAAGTGTCACAAGACTCCTCGTTGTTTTCTTCAGTTGACATTGTGCTATAGTCTGCAGTGGTTGTACTCATCATAACCAGACAGTCATACCTGATTTTGTATTATGATCACGTACAGTATATACAGTCTGTGTTGTAAACATCTGCATTGTTATTGCTATGCTCTGGTTTGGAATCATAGGTGAAAGAATTCTCTATGTGAGCTAGTAAAACTCCCTGTGTCAAGCATCTTATAATATACTGTATTCTACAAAATAGTTTCAATAGCTTCTCTGACTGGCTTTTCAGTGGGCAAATCCTGGCCCTGTGGAAGCCAATTAATATTTTGCCATCGATGATCTAGGATTTCACTCCTTGTCTTTAAAGGAAGTTCTGTAACTTCCCCACTTGGCAGTCTGCTCCCGTTACCAAATTCTGCTCAATATCTGCATTAAACATATTCCTTTTCCACCTTTCCCAAGATAAGTTTGTTTAAAAAGAGACACAAATTAAAAGGATTAACAAATGCAGCTCTAATGAAACACCGATGCTCAGTTAGGGAGTCACTCTGCCTGTTATCTGTCCACATGGGAATATCACAGACAATTTAAATGGTGTGTTTTCATTAAACAGTCATTAAAGACACCACTGAATGATATCAGAATTTCTTACATGTATGTACAGCTTTCCATTCACAGATCCTACAATGCTTTTCAAAGTCAGGTGAATCCATTATTCCTCCCATTTTAAAGATGAGGAAACTGAGGTAAAATAGGAGGGGGGGAGAGATTTGTCCAAGGTCACATGGTTGGAAACAAAATCTCAGGTATCCAAACTCATGAGCCTTTGCTTGCCTCTGACTTACCCTCTTACTTTCCCAAATATTTCACATTTCTCTCCACTATAGCACTTTCCCTTGGTATCAGTATCTGTCTATACTAGGACTGTCAATTAATTGCAGTTAATTCACATAATTAAGTCAAAAAAATCATCATTTTAAAAACCATGATTAATCACAGTATTCAACTATAGAAAGCCAACTGAAATTGATTAAATATTTGTGGATATTTTTCTACATTTTCAGTATTGATATCAATTACAACACAGAATATAAAGTGTACAGTGCTCACTTTTTATTATTATTTTATTACAAATATATGCACTGTAAAAATGATAAACAAATAATAGCATTTTTCAATTCACCTCATACACGTACTGAAGTGTGGTCTCTTTAATTTGAAAGTGTAAATTACAAATGTAGGGTTTTTTTGGTTATATAACCACATCAAAAAAAAAAAAAACAACCCCACCAGCCACAATGTAAAAGTTATACAACTCCACTCAGTCCTACTTCTTGTTCTGCTAGTCACTAAGGCAAACAAGTTTGTTTACATTGATGGGCGATACTGCTGCCTGCCTGCTTCTTATTTACAATGTCACTAGAAAGTAAGAACAAGTAGGTGTTTACATGGCACTTTTGTAGCCGGTGTTGCAAGATGTTTACTGCCAGATATGTTTAACATTGTATGCCCCTTCCTGCTTTGGCCACTATTCCAGATGACACGCTTCCATGCTAGTGATGTTCTTTAAAAAAAAAAAGTGTTAATTACATTTGTGAATTGTATGTCTCCTGCTCTTTTACCCACATTCTGCCATGTATTTCATGTTATAGCAGTTTTGGATGATGACTCAGCACATGTTCATTTTAAAAATGCTTTCACAGCAGATTTGATAAAATGCAAAGAAGGTACCGATGTGAGATTTCTAAAGATAGGTATGGTACTCAACCAAGGTTTAAGAATCTGAAGTACCATTCAAAATCTAAGAGGGACCAGGTGTACAGCATGTTTTCAGATGTTTTAAAACACTGTGATGAGGAAACTACAGAACCCAAACTACCAAAAAAGAAAATCAATCTTCCGCTGGTGGCATCTGACTCAAATGATGAAAGTAAAGATGCATCCATCTGCACTGCTTTGGATCGTTATCAAAGAGAATTCATCATCAGCATAGATACTTGTCTTCTGTAAAGGTGGTTGAAGCATGAAGGGACATGTGAATCTTTGGCATACCTAGCACACTTCGGTGTCTCCTTCCCCCCCACATTCAATACAGAGAGAAATGAGAAGTTACTGCACATGTGATGACATCATAGTAACATAAATTTTAATTTATTTTATCTTTTCAACATTCACTTAAAACTATTTAAAAATTAAACAGAAGGCCAGAATTTCTATTATTATCGAACATTACTGCAACTAGAACAGAAAGGAATGAATATGTTAAGTGGTATTTGTTAACATCAGCAGTCAGGTATTAGAAAATCAGGATTTTATTATTACTGTAACAGTAATAGTCTACAGTAAATACACAATCTTAATCTAACAAGTATTCGTGATTCTTCTTTTGTACTCTTGTGAAATCCTCTTACCAAATTTTTCAAGTCTAACACAATGTAAATTCTTTGTAGACACAGTGTCTTCAGGATTACGGCTCAAAACAGGAGAGCTGTGCAGGTCACTGATCAGCCTTCACTAAGCGGCAAGCAACACTGTCTCAACTGTGTGACTGGCCAACACTGGGCAACTGAGAATGACTGAGCTCCCAGACCCCACCCCCAGACAGCAAACCTAGGTGGCGCCCTTTTGAAGCTAGGCCATGTCACACTTCAACTATATTCACATACACAGCCATGCTCTACAATGTGAAATAAATAATATAACTCAGCTTCATGGCAATGATGCACTGTTTTGCAAGATCAATATTTAATACTTTTGTTTATAAGAAATAACATATTAATATATTTTTAAATAGAGAAACAAATTCACTTCTCTCTAATTTGGTGCCTCTTAAAGCCTGGTGCCCTAGGTGACAGCCTCGTTCACCTATATGGTTGGGTGGACCAGTTAGTACATAAATACCTTGCAACACTAGCTATAACAATGCCACATGAACATCTGTTCTCACTTTCAGGAGACAGTGTAAGCAAGAAGTATTATCTCTTGTAAACTGTAATCAAACTTTTTGTCTGAATGATTGGGTGAACAAGAAGTAGGACTCAATGGACTTGTAAGTGCTAAAGTTTTACATTGTTTAATTTTTGAATGCAGAGGGTTTTGTATATAATTCTACATTTGTAAGTTCATCTTTCATGATAAAGAGATTGCATTACAGTACTTGTATGAGATGAATTGAAAAATACACATTTTTTTACAGTGCAAAATAATTGTAATAAAAAATAAATATAAAGTGAGCACTGGACACTTAGTATTATGTGTTGTAAATGAAATAGTTATATTTGAAAATATAGAAAACATCCAAAAATATTTAACATAAATGGTATTCTATTTTTGTTTAACAGTGTGATTAATCAGGATTAATTGTTTAATTGCTTGAAAGCCCTGGTTTATATCACTCTCATCATCATGCAAGCTATCCTAACGTAAGAAAATGTGAAACCGTAGTCTCTCTTATGCAAAGAACATCTAGTTCTCTCAATATGACTAAAGAATTGTAGCTGTGAGATGAAACTGAATGGACTGCATTTACACTGTGTAAATGGAAGCTCTGTTTCCCTTTACAAAATGCTGAAAGAGTATCAAATAATCTTTTTTTTTTGTATGCACCAGAAGTTGGTTGGTGTCTTTTTAATAAGTAGCTAAACAAGAGCTCAAAGACACATAATCATACAACATGCGCAATCACTGCTCTTTTTGTTGTAAGAGATTAGGACTTGTGCAAATTTCCCCTCATCTTTTTGTACAGACAAGACAGAATTTTTTTTAAAGAATTTGATTGCAGAACTGTCTGGTAAGAGCCTTTATTCCTAACTCATTTCGGTTGCATGTGTCTCTTATATGAGCACATTTTTTAAAAATTGCATTATGGGGGATCTTAGATCCTGTTATGGGCTTATCTTCACCACTCTCCAGATTGACAAGCAGTGACTCATCTAGCAGGAGTCAATTTAACTTGTCTAGTATAGATGTATAAATCGACTGCTGAGAGCTCTCCCATCGACTCTTGTTCTCCATCAGAATGAGAAGTGCAGGTGGAGTTGACAGGAGACCATCAGTTGTCAAGTTACCGCAGTGAAGAGACGGTGGTAGGTAGATCTAGTATAGGCCCTGGTAGTGTAAACCAGGCCTATGTATAAAGCATATCTCAAGGTGCTTTATCCTTCTAATGAAGAATGACAGTATGTCCCAAAAGCTTGACTAAGTAGGAAGCATGGAGTAAAAATGGTGTCATTTGCCTGAAGGGCTCAATTTTGTATTATTCTCACTACCTGCAAATTAATGACACACATTTTCTAAGGAGAAGTGTCTGCTGCCCTATACCACAGCCATGGGAGCTGGCTGTAATTTACTTGTCTTCTAGCATATATGGGACTTCACCGTGTCTTTGATTCATATTTTGTCCAACATATCAGCCTAGTTTGGGAGCATAGTGAAAATTCAAGTAGGTCCTATCTAATACTACATAGCCCTGTTTTAACCATGGTGGAGATTTCAAATGATTGTCCTGACATGCCCCCCTCATACCTCACCCATTGGTGTTTCGGTCTAGCAGTCTGTAAAATGGATGCAGTATTACTTGCCTACTTGCAGGTGTATGGAGCTTTCATCAGTCAAACCTTCTGAGATCTTTCCGGACTTATAAAATTGTGTTTAACAGTGATTACCACCAAAAGTGCCTATACGGTCTTGGCGCACAAGCCCCATTGAAAGTTCTGAACCTGACACTTCTTCATTTTTTGGTGCCTTCCTCCATGTTGGCACCTACCCACACTCTCCCTGTCACTGAAACACCAGCAGTATGCACAATGACTCTGTATACAAAGGCATGCATATTAGAGTAAGCTGCTTTCCACACCCCATCCTCTCCCCCCTCCCTAAAATCTGCACCTGGAAGAAGACATTCTATAACAGCAATAAAAGTTCAAACGAGAATTTTTTGGTGCCTTCCTCCATGTTGGCACCTACCCACACTCTCCCTGTCACTGAAACACCAGCAGTATGCACAATGACTCTGTATACAAAGGCATGCATATTAGAGTAAGCTGCTTTCCACACCCCATCCTCTCCCCCCTCCCTAAAATCTGCACCTGGAAGAAGACATTCTATAACAGCAATAAAAGTTCAAACGAGATATATATATATATATATAATATATGGAATTTGTACGGGAGGGGAATGTTCCCAACGTACTAGTTGTCAGTTCAGACCTCTGCTCTCACACATCTGCCAAGATATTTGCTGTGGTAATACTCAGTCACTCATGAACCAACTGGGAGTAAGGGGCTGGATTAGCCAACTCCCTGCCTCACAGGCAGCAGTGAAAAGAGGGAGAGAGGAGGGTTCCCAATGTTCAGAGCAACTTGCTCAGGTGTTTCCTTATGGCTGCCTGATGGAGGCTGGTTCCATTGCATTCTTATATGCCTGAAAGCATTACTTGTTTGCCAGAGTCAATGGTGGTAACCTACATAGACTGCATAGGCAAAGGGTAGCTAATTTTACTATTTGGCCTTAAATCAGAAGGGATCCAACAATTTTAATTTTAATTTTGGTTTTGGGCTGCAATGAAAAGGTTAATGGATCACAAGCAATATTTTAACTCTGGATAGTTTGCACCTTGGTACCTCTGTATCTACTGATATACAACATAGTACCAGGCATATTTACACTTTATAAACAACACAGTGGTTTGCATTCAAGTAGTCTTGTTAAACTTGAAGAGTCCTGATGTGTTTTACAGCAGCAGTTCCCAATCTCCAGTCTGTGGACCAGTGCTGCCATGGCTGCCCAAGATTTTGCCCAGCAGTGGCGCTGGGGCTGAGGTGGCAGTAGGAGGAGGAGGAGCAGGAGGGGCCTTCCTGCCTCCTCCTCCCTAGGTAAGATGGCAGCCTGGTCAGGGCTCCATGCTTCCCCCGTCCCAACCTCAACTGCAGAGGGACATATGGTCACGAGCAGAGATGACTGAGGAGGATGAGTCATTGAGAGTCAGTAGGTTGGAGGTTCCTAAGTGACTTGCCAAAGGACACTCAGGAAATTTGTGGCAAGACAGGGCATCCAACTGCATAGGAATCTTTCTGCTGACTAGAGGGGGAGTTGGATACGCTTGGGGAGGAAGAGGGGTGCGAAGGAGGAGGGAGGGAGTGCATGTGCTGGCAATGGCTGCTCCCCATGCCCACACAGCAGTAACAGCCATGCTTCAAAGAGGTGGTAGCCTCGCTCTAGGAAGTGCTGGGGTGGGGTCAATGGGCAAAGGAGTGTTGGGTGAGGGCACGGTGGAGTCATGAGGCAAGAGGGTGTTGGCAAGGGCTGTAGGGGTCAGGTGAAAAAGTCAAAGGGCATGGGCATAGGGGTGGGGAGTCAAAGGGTGTTAGGCACTGGGGAATAAGGGGTGGGGTTGGAGCTAGGTGGACAGGTAACATTTGCATATTCATTATTTACATAATGAATATGCAGATAAAATGTTGCCAGTCCGCCAAGTGTTTGTGAATGGATTTGCTGGTCCGTGGTGTAAAAAAGGCTGGGAACCACTGTTTTACAGCACAGAAATGCAGCTACCTCGGGGGTAGTGAGCAGCACCCTCTAGCATTATACAACAGGAACAAAGTACTAATGCCTATCCTTTGAAAAAAGTCCAAAGGGATCCTTGGTGTCCAGGCAGAGCAAAAATGACCTTGATTTTAAATCATTATGTTAAAATTTGAACAGAGATAGCACTTAATAATGTTGCTATCACAATCTGCATGGTTGCAATGCCTCATGACTATTCTAATAGAAAGTTTCATAGAGTATAAATTTGATGAAACAGGAAGCATAAAATCCTAGCAATTACTCTCTTCAGCCAGTTGTACCCAGAGCAGTTTATAAGCAGTTGCTACTGGCCAGAAGCTGTAGCCATTACCTGCTGAGAAGAGACTATTACACAACAAAGCACCTTGCCTTGAGCAACACCTAAAAAGGTGAAGATTTTACTCTGTTCTTCCCCCTCCCCACTTGTTTTTAGAATTTGTGCTGCTCAATACTGACCTTGGGGTCAGGAGGTTTCAGTGAAACAGCCAGGAAATGCCTTCCCCATTGGTCATGAGTACCCAGTTAACAACTTTAAATATTTCACAATGCATCTCAATGGCACAAGATGGCTGTTTTGAGAGAGGGGTTTTCTTTTCTTTTTGAAAAATGCTCACAATGTTTGCATTTAAAAGGCCTCCAAAGAGACAGTGTGGGATAGTTGATGCTTCTCGTGGTGCTAATGTCTCATTCTGTCTTGGCTCCAGACTCAGCCCAGTGGCACCTCTAGTTTAGCTTACACTGGGAAGGTCACAACCTCAAGGCTAGAAACTTTTTTTGTTTGTTTGTTTAATGAATGTATAGCCTACTTACTGGGACAGTATCAGAGAGAGGTTACAGTTTTCTGCAGACAGTGTAATCTGTGCAAAATAGACCGTTCCTTCTCTTTATTATCTTTCACATGCAAAGGATTAAAAAACCAAAACCAAAATCCCCACCTGACTGTTGACCCAAATCAACGTGAAGCCATGTTAACAAAAGTGTCTTGCATTTTTTCCCATAGGTTGTCAGATCGACTGGAAATGTCAACATTTGCAGAGGTGTTGGCGAATTGATTAAAAAGAGTGCTAGGTTGGGTGTGTCTTCACTGAAGTAAAAGGTATGTTCTTACCTGATGTTAATTAACTGTATGGTAATGAACAGGAGGTAATTAAAACTGTAGGCAACACAAGGCAGTTTAGCTGTCACACCGGTTAGCACAACAAGGTAAAGTTTATTGGGGAACCTAGAGGTTTACCTCAACCTGTGAGTTGCAACTAAAGGGCTTTTTATGATTTAACATCTCCTTTGGCTTCTCTGCTAAGGGCTTGTCTAAATGGGTAGGGTATCAATTTAAAGCACAAAAGCAATTTTAGAATGTTTATAGCTTATTCTGAGGTAACTAGTCCAGTTAAGTTCACTGTGTAGACAAGCCCTTTACTTCTTCCAGCTCCCTGTTTGGTGAATAGTATATAAGCCCATGTGGGCTCAAAATGAAGGTGAAACCTACCACTAGTGTACACTGACAGGCTCACAGGCTTTGAAGGGGTTTTTGCCCAGCGTTTGGAGAGCTGAAAACAATTTGCTGCACCTTTGATTCTGTCTGTTCAGCTTTGATGTGTTTCATCTTATCAAATCAAAACTTTCAGGTGACTGAAACAGTAGATTAGCTGCTATCTCATATTTTCTAACTAAAACGCTCCAGGAATAAAGATAGCTGTGTGAATGCTGATTCCA